CTCCTTTCTCGATCTTCGGAAGAAGTATGTCGGATTTTGGCTTTTCTTCACCGTCATCCTCGAGTTCCTCGGGGGGAATGAATGGCGCTCAAAGAGCTGAATTAATGGAACAAGTCCAAAGTCAACTTTTAGTTGCAACGCTACAGGAAATGCTCGCGGTAAGTTTTTAACACGCCGCGTAACTTGCCCCCAGTGGCCGGTACATGTGCTCAAGCTTAATATTCCCATGTGGTGTCACTTTAAAACGCAGTCTAGAATTGACAGAAATGAAAATCAGTTACCCCTGGCTATAGTGCTCAACGGGTCTTTATGTCTCCCATGTAGTCCATGTAGATTCAATGTTACGGATGATGCAACCTCCTGGCTGAGCTGCACGCAGGCCGGCATATCACACACGTATAATTAGTGCATAGTTAGTGGAGGAGACTCTACTAACTATGATTAGTGGTACTGAGGGAAACAGTTGGTAATCTCGTTGTTTCTCGAGAAGAAGTCGAGATAAGAAGGAAAACAAAACTAACTGTTTTTCAAAGGACCAGTAATTAAGTGTTTTTCTGTATAGCTGGAGCTTAGTGTAAAGTATAAGGAAGAGTAGAAGTCAGAGTAACCTCCAGTAAGAGGGAGAGAGTGCAACATTTGGATTCAGAAGCAGTTGTTGCCTGCTGGGCGACGTTTAGATTTAGCCATGGCCACATGACCATAAATCAGCCAATAAGAAGGTGTGTTAGATTCAATAAACTCCAGCTATATAGCAATACATTTTGTTTCATGGCTGGCTCCCTGAGTGGGCAAGATGAACCAAATCCTGTACTGTGATTGGCTACCCAAGCGGGCAGATGTGCCATCTTTCCCATTCGGGATTACTCAGGTTACTAAAGATCATTTTTTGGCGTTCTTTAAATTTAAATTCTTTTATTGACCAAGCTTGTTTGGTTAAGATGGCTGGATATTGGCCTCGTTACTGGCCTCAGTTTCTTTTGGGGACCTCTCTTTTTTTTTGCATGTTTATGGACGTCTACTCCATTGGGGTTTATGAACATGCCCCCAAAAAACATGGCCAATATCAAGCCACCTTGACCTCACGCTCGGTCAATAACATTATAACAGTAACATCATCAGTTGAAATCCTGACCCCCATCACCCCCATGGCAGAGTGAGGATTTGATTTCATGTCATTGCAATATTGTTGACAAACTTGGGGACACTCGCTGGACTGGTAAAATTGCCACCCAAGAGGGTCCACTTTCTACTTTAGAAGTACTAACTCTAAGTGAGAGGCACAGTGGCCCCATGGTTAGTGTGCTCATCTCCAGACCGAACGGTCCGGGTTCAAGCCCTGGCCGGGGACATTAGGGGTGGCGAATGGCAAATGTGAGACTTTGCAAGACAACGAGATAAGCGTTTTTCTTTGCAAGCCCAAGACATTTTGATTTCTTCAATTGTGAGACTGAGATGTTAAAGTGTTTTAAGTGCGAACTCAAGACGTTCAGGTGCTAAGATGTTGTGATGTCATTTAACTTTACTAAGAAAAATAAACAAATCGGTACTTTGAGACTTTCTTAGCCTTGAAAAAATCAAGACTGCGAGACAGCTTTGGGAGAAAAATCGAGACTGCGAGACGCGCATAACCGCTAAAAAACGAGACTGCAAGACCCGTGAAATTCAGCGAAAATTTTGCGAGACCCATGGTTTTTAAAGGACCATTCGCCACCCCTGACATTGTGTTGTGTTGTTGGGCAAGACAGTTAATTCTCACAGTGCCTCTCTCCACCCAGGTGTATAAATGGGTATCAGCAATATTACTGGTGGGGGTAACTCTGCAATGGACTAGCATCCCATCCAGGGAGGAGTAGAAATACTCCTAGTACTTCATACCACAGAAACTGGGATAAGTTCCAGCCTGATGGGCCACTTGGCTCATATGCAGACTCAACCTACTAGCTTTAAGTTACATGAATAACCAGGTTCACAAAATTTTGATACATAGGTGCATAATGGTTAATGTTCAAGCCAGAAATGTTAGCGATCTCATGAATTCCAGTGAAATCTGGAGCATCTATTTCTCAACATTAATTTCCTATCTGTTTTAACTTTTCAACTAGAAAATGTCTGACAAATGCTTCAAAAAGTGTGTTAACAAACCAGGACCACAGCTTGATAATTCTGAACAGGTACGATTAAGCTCTGTTTGGTACATTTTCATCTAACAGTGCTATGTCACAGGATATTACCATCTATCATAAATTATTGGTCTGTACACGTGTAACCACTAAACAGCCTCAACAAAATCAGTGAGGGGAGTGAGTCAAGAGTGGTTTAAGGAGCAAGAGCTCACAGGGGAAGCCTTTGAAACATGATATCAGTTTTTAATATCATGATTTGAGTGGCTGGATTGCTATTTGTTGATGGCTTTGCAATAAATACTGTCACCTTTGACAACTTCGAAAAGTTTTCGCACCTGGAAAGCCATAGGAAAATCTCAAACCTCATGATTACAGAGCTGTTTTATTCTCATATTCTTAATATGAACAGAGGTTCCCTTCATACAAAACGTTTCAGGTGTATACACTTCTCTGTTTTTAAATACAGATTAGTGGTAACTAAAAATGTCTTTGGGGGCCTGAAAAGTTTGCGGGGCTTTCATTGCGTTGGGTTCTTAGGTAAGACACCTTACTCTCACAGAGCTTCTCCCCACCCAGGTGTATAAATGGGCAACAGCAAATTTAATGCCATGGGATAACCCTGCAATGGATTGGCATCCCATTGAGAGGGAGTAGAAATACTCCTGATGAGCTTGTAGTACATAGGGCATTAAGACTTTACTTACAATTATATCTAACATAAGATAAAACTTGCAGTAATATCTAACATCAGAATCAATGGATGTGTAACACCTAGCTGAGATAATTTAAGTATTCTAGGTCTTAAATCATGGGAGGTGTGGTGGCCTCATGCTTAGTGTGTTCATCTCTAAATCGAGCAGTCCAGGTTCAAACCCTGGCTGAAAACATTGTGTTGTGTTCATGGGCAAGTTACTGTACTCTCACAGTGCCTCCCTCTTCCAAGGTGTATAAATGGATACCGCCAAAATAAATGCTGGGGGTAACCCTGAGATGGACTAGTATCCCATCCAGGGGGGAGTAGAAATACTCTTAGTCGCTTCATGCTACAGTAACCGGGATAAGCTCTGGCGTGATCCAGGTCACTTGGCTAGTATGCAGACTTGACCTAGGTCTTAAATCAGTTGTTGTTGATTGCATAGGGTAATTCTCTCCCCTTGATACATTTAAATACATTTATCATTAAGCATTTTTTTCATTTATCTCTGTTTTTCAGAAATGTATATCTATGTGTATGGATCGGTTCATGGATGCATGGAATACGGTATCAAAAACAACCAAGTCCAGGCTACAGAGAGAACATTCACCAGGAGGAAGTTTTAGTTAAACGCTACAGATGCAGTTTTTGTGCTGATTTGTCATGCA